ACGGTCGGTCCAGACACAACGGTCTGAGCCTAAATGGCTCGAGGGAGAAGAAAGAGGAGAAGGAGGAAGAGGAGGACGGAGGAGGAGGAGGAGGAGGAGGAGGAGGAGGATGAGGAGGAGGAGGGGGAGGGGGAGGGGGAGGGGGAGGGGAGGAGGAGGAAGAGGGGAGGGGGAGGAGGAGGAGGAGGAGGAGGAGGAGGAGGAGGAGGAGGAGGACTCTTTGACTCTTTGATAGCGGACGCTGTCCTGGGGGCGATTTAATCACTGGAATCGCTTCCATCCCCAGCCCGCACGGGCTGGGGTTCCTGGGCCTGGCCAGGCCTGGAGGGAGCCGCGCGGTCCAATAACCCCGCTCCCGTCTGAGCCCCCGAAGGCCCAGCAGCCTGTCCAGCCAGGTCGGATCCTGGGTTTTCCGATTGCGGACTCCTGAGCATGGCCGCCACGTCCGCGCAGGCGGCTTCTTCACGAGCCCTAATGGCCTCTAAAATTGCCCTCGGGGGGCCTTCACGACGCGGGAACAAACCTTTGCTTATCCTCGCAAGGTTCTCCGAACCTTTGTTGGTCCGTCCGTCACATCTGCCAACTAAATTCCTGGGGTCCACGGAGCAATAAGAACCGCACTCCGAGCAAATGTGAAGGAACCATTTCTCCACATACTGGAGCCTGTGAGAGGGGTGAACCTTTTCCAGGAAGCCGCTCCCTCGGGCTGAGGGGGCGACCCTCTCTCCAACAGCGGCCTGGGAGCCTCTCCTGACTTCGGCAGGAGGCCCTGAACATGTCGTGGCCGCAAAGACCCGCGTTTGGTAGCGGGGAACAACTCTCTCACAGACCGTGCACCACCAGTATTTCATGCTGCGACCACATGGCTCGAGGCTGTGGTCCGAGGCGTGCGCCGCAGCCACCAACTTGGACGGTCTCGACTCCTTCTTCAAAGGGGGTCTCTCCGCCCGCGTGTTTTCCTCGGCCTCCGCTGCACGCGCCAGGGCACGTCTGGCCCTTCGACGAATCAACGAAGCTGTGGCATCAATTTTGTCCGTCTCAGGCTCCCGCCCCACCAGCCCCCTCCACGCCAACTCCGCCGCCTCCCCCGCCCACGAATCAGCGCAGGCGTTGCCAGAGGCATAAAAGAGTTTTTCGAGCGTGTCTAACCTCTCTGGGGCCTCCTCTTGGTGGGAGGGGAACCGAACAACTTCCACATCAAGATTCCTCCTGGCCTGGAAGGCAATGCGGGCCCTGGCCCAGAGGTCTTCGCTGGCACCCACAGGGTTGGGCCTTCGAAAGCGGGCCCTCGAGGTCCTGGAGATCGCCTTGTGATCTGTCACAAAAGTGAAACCCAGCTCTGAATCTACTTGCTCTAACGCCAGGCAGAATGCTAAAACTTCGGCTCGGGGGACCGTTTGCTTTTCTCCGAGCAGAGGAACCCCGAGAGCCTCCCCCAAGGTCCACCCGCCTCCCGAATCAAACGCAAGCCCCACGATCGCTGCTCCGCAGCGTCTCCGCCTGGGGTCGTCAGAATATTTGCCCCCCGAGCCGTCACCGAAAACGTGAACTCTGCCTGACTCCGTGCATTCGGCGCAGCCGCGTGACTTAAAATCCAACTGCAGCTGGCCGAGGAGCGCTTCATCGAACTCAGGAGTGGTGAGCCCAACGGCTGGTACTCCCCGAAGCCAAAGAGCAGGCGACGCCTCGTGCTGCGCCGCCGCCTGTGCCACAAGCGCCTCCGACTTCACGAAATCCTCGTGCCCCTTGTTCTGCTCACATTCCCAAATGCGGCGATGCAAACTCTCTTCTTTGAGCTGGCAGCGCGGGCAACGCTTGGAATCAATAAGGTATCCTTGTCTGGCACGCCTCACTCGGGTCCATTGTCCACCTGTGGTGACTATCAGGTTGAGTGCCGCCAAATCTGAAGCTCCTTCATTGTGGAACTTGCGCTGCTCTGCCCTGATTCTCCATACATCCGCACCTGGGATCAGGTCAGCTCCATCCTCGTGCTTCGACGCCTGCTGCCAGTACAATTTGCGCATGTCGTTGACCACGTCTGCCAAGATGGCGAGTCTCTCCCAATCGTTCGTGTACTCCGTGTCAGTGCCGCTGGGGATAAGCCACGCCTGCAACTGTCCATCTGGTAGTGGTCTGTCCCACTCTGTCGCCTTCATGGGGTTCCAGCCTATGTCCATCAGCGCGGCCTGCAGCGTGGCGATCGGGCCTCTGACATAGGCCCACCTCCTCCGTCCAGCCGTGATCAATCGCTGTCTGATCTTGGTCCAGGCTAACTTGACTCTCGCGTGGATCTGAGGATTCATCTGCCACATCGCCAGCCACTCGTGAACAACTCGTTTGCGCAATTCCAGACCTGGCTCCTTGTCCCACATCTCAATTGCAAGTGTTGTCGTAAGACATTTGCCTCCTTGAGAGCCGGCTGCGATCTGGCCCGCCTGTCTTCTTAGCTTCGTCAGCTCCGTCGTGGAAAGGCCGAACGCTTGATGTCCGTATGTGGCCTGGGGCAGGGCGCCCGTAGACCACAGTCCTTTCGCTTCTTTTGCCAGGGTAGTGCTTTTCCTCAGCCTCTTGATCTTGGCGAACCGTCTCTTAGCTGCCAGTATACGTCTCTTGAGTGTGCGAACGACTCGTTTACGCCCAGCAGAAGCGTCGAGGCCTAGGTCCTTCGTGTATGTTTTGGCCTTGGCGGGGGTACCGTTCTGCTGCAACCTCTTCGCCACGCACTTGACCATGTCTCTGCGCGAGCCGATGACCACTGTCTTGTCCGAGATCTTGAGCCTCTGTTGACGAAGTCCTTGGGCGAGCTCGCAGGCCACTCTGACCATCTTGTCTGGGGTCTCCAGTGCCGTGCCCTCCTCTCGAGCCACAGTGTCATCGACGAATGTCCAGAGTCCAGCCGTCGGTGATATGATATGCGCTCGCTGTAGGATTGGGTGGAGGAAAACCTTCGCGAGGCTGACACCTCTGGGTGACCCCGCAACTATCGATCTGGATACCAATATTGCCTCACTCAGCGACGACTTGTCTTTGAGAAAGCGAGCCGCCGCGAAGATGAGTACTTCCATTTCCACTACCACTGCTGGATAGCCGATGCCCCTAGCGATGCGCATCAGCAGCACCAGGCTGACGCTGTCGTAGAACTTCTCGATGTCCTCCAGCAGGGTGAGGCTGGAGATGCCCAGCTCGTATCCCGCCTCGTCCAGGCAGGCACGGAGCAGTCCCGCTCGCAACGCCGAGCTGCCTTTGAGGGCCGTGTCCCAGTGCGCGCTCAACGCCTCGCTCCATTCGCTGCAAGGTGACGCCCTCGTCCTGCTCCAAAGTTTGACTGGTAGGGGTAGCATCCCCAGCACTCTCTCACCACCTGCTGGTTTAGGGACCACAGCCCCGAGTGTAGCCGTCCACTGCCTCGGCCACGTGCCCGTCCGCTCGCACATGTTGATGAGGTCGACCAGCTTCTGGCGTGCACTCTGCGGGGCCCTTTTGATGTCGTGCAACTTAAGGCCGCCCACACCGCCAACTTTGTTGGGGTTCGTGGCCTGCATTGCCGAGGTCGAACTCCTCAATAGTGATCGGTTCCAAGTCTTCGTCTCTGGCCTGTCTGTGCATGACCTGCAGCTCCGACGCGATGTCCTCTCTGGTGTCCACTGCATCCGTCCAGATCTTTAGCCATTTCTGCCTCTTCGTGTGCATGAGAATCTCTGGGTCCGCCGAGCTTGCGTTCAGGTGGTACTGCTCGTATGTCGGCTGCACTGGATCTTTGACGTGCTTGTGAAGGAACCCTGGCTTCTCCGACCACATCTTCTTTGCCCACTTAGTGAACTGCTGCCGCTGTGTGGATATGCCTCTGGAGACCGCAATTGCCATGTGGTTTCCAATCTCATCTTTCAACCTCTCAAGCTCCACCAGCGTGTGTGACTTGACCCCCTGCACCCGTAACATGGGAGGGAGGAGGGAGGAGGGAGGAGGGAGGAGGGAGGAGGGAGGAGGGAGGAGGAGGAGGGAGGAGGGGAGGAGGAGGAGGAGGAGGAGGAGGAGGAGGAGGAGGAGGAGGAGGAGGAGGAGGAGGAGGAGGAGGAGGAGGAGGAGGAGGAGGAGGAGGGAGGAGGGAGAGGAGGATGAGGAGGAAGGGTGACGAGGGGGAGGGGGAGCAGAGGGAGCAAACGCACGAACGAACCACTACTGCGGACAGCTGTCTGGGCCCACCTGGGACCCCTGAAACACGACTTGTGGAATCAGACGCAGCTGTGCGCCTGCACAGCGAGCAGTCATGACGGAGCCGAGGGGGGCTGCTCCAAAGAGGCCGCCTGCCTGCTTAGAGGCCCCCGAGCTTCTCCGCAGGCCGCCCCCCCTTGCGCCGCCAGGCCCCGTGCGCGCCGCCAGCTTCCTCGCATGCCCTCCCCTTCCCTCGGGCGTCCGTTATCGGGAAGGTATCCTCCTCCTCCTCCTCCTCCTCCTCCTCCTCCTCCTCCTCCTCCTCCTCCTCCTCCTCCCCCTCCCCCTCCCCGTCCTTCTCGTCCTGATGTTTCTCCTGCTCCTCCTCCTCCTCCTCCTCCTCCTCGTCCTGCTCCTCATCCCCATCCTCCTTGTCATTCCTGTCCTCCTCGGCCTCTTTTTCCTGTTCATGTTCCTGTTCCTCCTCCTCCTCCTCCTCCTCCTCCTCCTCGTGCCTGCCCTCCCGACCCCTCGGGCGTCTGTTAACACACACGCGCGTTCCAAGACTCGCATAACAACTACTCGCACATAGCCTGTATCCGCAGCGCGGCAGCAAAGGATTTACGACCCATGGCAACGAGGTAGACATGGGTGTTGTTTGATATTTGCAACTGCGCACTTTGCGAGTAGTGGAACGCGCTCGCTGAGTTAATGGGGAAGAGATGAGTGGGGGTGAAGAAACGTGCACCTTTCAAGCATCGTTTGGACCCGCGGTTGCAAGGTTAGGGATTGTCTAAGGCCCCTTCAGGGACCCTTTACAACAATCGTCGACCCCCCGATTCGATTGCCCTCCTGAACCCACCAACCACATGCCGCAATCCCTCCTTCCTAGCATTCCTCTCATTCTTCGTTATCTTCGCGAAAAAAAACTGCCCTGGCTAGGCGCAAGACGGCTCAGCCGCCAACGGGCGCCTGGTGCGCAGACGCCGGACAGTCCCGATCTTTCTGGTGGGCAACGGAAACTCCGTGCGCTTCCCGTCCTTCAGGATTATGGGCTTGGTCTCGTCATCCTCGGGGACGCGCTGACCGGGGTCAGCGCCAACGCCGGTTAGCCAGCATGAGGGCGCCAACTATAGACCAATACCGATCCTGACCAAGCCTATCCTGCGCCCGAGATCGTTGTGTGCGCCCTCCTGGCTTGGCCAGGCTGGCGTATACTCCAGTCCTGGGCTCAGGATCGGCCTAGCCAAGACCGGTGCAAGTGCATGTATAACTGGCGCCCTCCGAACCAGGGCCATGTCGCGAACCCCGGCTGGCCACACAGTGACTCCCAAACCCGGGTCAGCCGAGGGACCGGCGGAGGGGTCGGGCCCGCGTGGCTCCCAAACCCGGGTCAGCAAAACATCTTGAAGAGTATTTAGAGGGACGAAATCAAGCACGGTACTTTCAGATCCTTTTGGAAATCCGCGCGGAATTCCAAAAACGTATGTCAAATGCCGTTTACTTCCTCGGATCTCGGAGGTTATTGGAACCCCGTTAGCGATGTGACCCCTGTTACGTTCGGACCGGCATCCATACTCTCGTGCATCACCGGACTGTTGCGGAACTTCTCGACGTGCCGATGCAGCCCCTGCAGGGTGGCCCAACCCACCTCCACGCAGCCGAGTTCCGCTGACTGGGAGGTCACCCCAAACACTTCGTGGAAGTGCCTGGCGGCCTCTGGCGTCACCAGGTTGACAAAGGCAAAGCCGAAGCAGCAGCCCTTGCCGTAGTCCTTTGGCAGGTACACGAAATCGTACTGGCCCCAGAAGCCCTTCGCATCCAGCACCTCCAAGAATACGTCGCGGGTGATCGCCCGTGACATGTTCCTCACAACCACAGTCGTCGGTTGCTCCTCACGCCCGTGCGCAAGCAGGCTCACATCCACCTGGTACGGGACCGTGCCGCCAGGTCGGGTGGAGTCAAGCCATAGCGGGGCCAATTTCGACCTCTGCTCTGGCGAGAACGCATCGGGGACGCTGCCGGGGAATGCGCACATGTCGTAGTGAGATGCGAAAGGGTTCTTGTCGTACGTCATGTGACCTGTGGTCTGGCTGAGAAACGCCGCGGCGGGGGTGATATGCTTGGGCGAAGATGGAGACATCTGCTGCGAAGAGGTATGCGCGGTCGGTACCGAAGCTTGGAGAAGTATGAGCTAGAGCTCAGATTGCTGCAACGTGCGAACGCAGCTGCATTTGTATGTACCTGTCTGTGCGCTTTAACGTGTATGTGTGCCTGTGTGTGAACGTGAGTGCGTGTGTGTGTTTTCAGGGCACACCTGCAACTGTGGCCGTGCTAAGCATATTGCTTGCGTAACCCTGAGTGTGCGTGTGTGTGTGTGTGTGTGTGCGTGTCAGCGATTGCACGTGTGACTGTGGCTGTGTTGCGGCTGTGGATGCGCGCACGAACGCAACTGCGCGTGTGTTGTTACGTGTTCAGCTGCTGCGTGCATGCGTGTGCATGTATGCGCTACTGCACGAGTCTCGGCGCGCCAAGATTGCCCCGGAGCGTGGGCTCGCAAGGCTCCAACCACAGTTTGTTGAAAGCCAGTGTCATGGTACGATCCTGGCGAAGACGAGCGGGGCAATTTCGCTCAGGGTTGCTGAAGTCTGGACCGCACCAATTTCCTGCAAACGAGTCAGACAGTACAGATCGTCCACGCGACAAACGTTACCTAGTGTATGCTGTCTGCCTGGCGCTGCTGTTCGGCACGTGCGTCCACGAAGCTGAGAATTGCCGTGGGCTAACTCCTTACCCTCGCTAGTGAAAACCTTCATGCTGATATTACAGCACGCATGGGCAGATTACAGAGGAGCTCGAGAACCCAACTGCTCCTTCCAAATCCTCGCAGATACATGCGCACTCGCTTTGTACGTCTACCTGTGCATGAATGTATGTGTGGGCACTTGGAAGCGACCAGGGTGTGTGCGCTGGATGGGCCCTTAGAATATCTGTCAAGAGGGGGACGAAGGCAAATCCGCCCAAGTACGGTCTAAAGAACCCTCACGGGGTCGAAACTGCCGAGTTTGTCGAGCCGCGTTCAAGCATGGCGGCGAGAGGGGGTACATGCTCCCCCTGTCTGCTGGCCGGAAAAAGTGCTGGACCGCCTCAGCCCCCTGGTCGGCTCCAAGTGGGTAGTCTGATATGTGCACGTGTTTTTGCGACTGTGTATTTGAATGTGCGTGCCTGCGCACGTGCACGTGCACATGTGTGTGGGGAAGCTCCCAGACCGACGACCTGACCTTTCGGCAGCGTGATGCTCTCGACCCAGCTCCCCAGGGCATATTTGCTTGGAACACCCGAAGTGGG